AGCCATTGTGGGTGGAGATGCTCTAAAGCTATGTGTTTTTCAACTTTTATTCTTCCAATATAATATCTAAATCTCAAATCATAAAACTACAAAATAACAATAATAATAATAATAATAATAATAATAAATACTTGCTTAAAACCAAATTCACGTTATTTTAACATATAACTTCAAATTCAACACAGAAAATTTTAGTAAAGAACTTATTAGTATAGTAGTTTAGAGCAATTGCTCTTTCATGAAAAATGCATGCGTTTTTGACTGCATCATAGACTTTGTGGGTCCCTCACAAACTTGCATGACAACCTTAGCTGTGCAACAACGTAAAAGTTAAAAAAATAACTTAAATATCTCGATGGATTTTTAAAATTTGAAATTTGTCTGGAGAATCATGTGTTGTTTTTTTTTCATCGTAGTTGATCAACCTTCTTCATTTTTTTTCATAAATAATGTATCACGTTTCTTTTCTTCAGCACCTGTTTCCTCCACCGCCTTCTTTAATGCCTTTCTAATTGAATTTCAAGTTGTTGCTGCTGCTACAAAATTGCAATGTTGGAAGTTGGAACAACCAGTGGACCAAACTTTGGATTATTTATGTTTATCCACTCCAATTTATTGTGGGATTAACAACCCAAATAAAGAAACACAAAGGATTGGATCGGAGACCATAACTTCTTTCTCCTTTTGGGGAGAGAATCGAGAGAAAAAAGAGGTAGGGTTAGTTGAAGAAGTTATATCAGGTACATAGGTTTAAATATATATATATATATATATATATATATTTAAACCTATGTACCTGATATAACTTCTTCAACTAACCCTACCTCTTTTTTCTCTCGATTCTCTCCCCAAAAGGAGAAAGAAGTTATGGTCTCCGATCCAATCCTTTGTGTTTCTTTATTTGGGTTGTTAATCCCACAATAAATTGGAGTGGATAAACATAAATAATCCAAAGTTTGGTCCACTGGTTGTTCCAACTTCCAACATTGCAATTTTGTAGCAGCAGCAACAACTTGAAATTCAATTAGAAAGGCATTAAAGAAGGCGGTGGAGGAAACAGGTGCTGAAGAAAAGAAACGTGATACATTATTTATGAAAAAAAATGAAGAAGGTTGATCAACTACGATGAAAAAAAAACAACACATGATTCTCCAGACAAATTTCAAATTTTAAAAATCCATCGAGATATTTAAGTTATTTTTTTAACTTTTACGTTGTTGCACAGCTAAGGTTGTCATGCAAGTTTGTGAGGGACCCACAAAGTCTATGATGCAGTCAAAAACGCATCCTTCCCAGGTGAGCTTTATTTTAGTCTTGATACCTGCAATGTAAAACAGCATCAGTCTATGTGACTAATATGGAAAGAGGTGTTTCAAAGAGATTGCACCTTAAGGGGAATATTGGGTTCACTGACCAAACCTGACTTAGTTGAGCCACAACAATGAAGAACACCGGGTGCATGTGTTTTGGCTCAGAGAGTAACAGGTGTCAACACTCACAAGCACAGAAGATATGTTGTCATTTTTCTTTCTTGCTGTAGACATGCACGAATAGATGTGACAGAATTCTCATTTTGTGATCTTGATGATGAGAAATGGGTGTCCAAGGATTTTTTATTTTTTATTTATCAAAAATGGGTGTCCTATGATATTTCATAAAAAAGTATGAACTATGATCATGCATATATGATTTGTGTGAAAGAAAAGAATGAATTAGAAACACAAGGAATAGGGGCAAGAATTGTGTTTTTTTTTTTCTCAGCATTTGTCTCATTCCTTTGATTTGTGTTTCATGCTTGTTGAATTAACCCTTTGTCATTCCCTGTTCAGTTCAGTTTCTGCACCAGCTGCAAGATTTTCCAAACCCAAGATGGAAATAACTTCTGAAATTCACACCAATCTTGATAATTCAGATACTACCAACATGGTCAACTAGGCCAAGATCATCAATTTCTTTTTTCCATGGTCATACTTGTTTCTGCAATGAATCAGAGTAATCTTTTGATGACCTTTTTAACTTCTTGAGATTTTATCCTTCTTTCTCTTTTCAAACTCTTCAACTTCACTCTCCATTTCTCACTCTTCAACCATTTGGTGCATTCACTATTTACATTCATGAGTAACAAAAATCTCCCACAATCTAGATGTATCAATCTGAAAACAAATTATCACACACAGATGCACGATCTGCTTCCCCCAAAAGCTTTCTGCTCAATAATGGATGAGATGGCCTACCAAGTCACCTCAAAGAAAGAAAAAAAAAAGGGAGTTTAAAGAGAAAAAAGTTAAAACTCAGGGATATTAAAAAAAAAAACATAATGTAAACGATCATGGGATTTTTTTTTATATAAAAAAAACACTACTTCATAACCCAGAAAAGAAAAAAAGAAAAATCATTACTTTTCTCTCCCAAATTTTCACATTTGAAAGTCAAATGAAGTAAATGTGGTGGGGATGTGGGTAAAAAAGAAAAGAAAAGTAGAAGAGTAAAAAGCACTTGTCCGTACCACAAGGCAGGCCTAAGCTAGAGTATGCCCTCTTTATTTTTGATCAATAACGCAATAACACATAAGATAACTTTTTAACGTGTCATTGTGTTGCGTTATTGGCCTAGGATAGTAAAACAGTGTCATTCCAGTTATATGTAAGTTTTTTTCACCTCTACTAAGGAGAAAAATTTAATTGAAACGGAGATAATATTATTTTGCTATTTCCAATCAATAATAATATATCATGTGAAAGTGTGATCACCCATATCATAAAGTTATTGATAGGGAATAGCAACATAGTATTATCCATGTTTATTGAAGTCTTTTCTCCTACACGAGAGGGAGGGTGTCATATATAAAAATAAAAAATAAAAAATAAAAACCTCTCTCACACCTTGCCCTTAACAAAAAGCTTCACATTTCACATTACAAAAGAGATTTGCTTTGCTATTAAATTTTGCAGCCTCACATAAAAACAAGGCACGCTTCTCAAGGAGACTATATATGTGATGTGGAGACAGCAAACCAAAGAAGAAAGGTGCATTTTTCCTTAATAACACTTCATTTTTTTATTTTTTCGGTTTTATGGATTTCTGTCGTGTAGAGATTGAGAGACAGGAGCGGCAACAAGGAGCAGCTATCCTGTGCCAGTGGGACATTTCCGTCAGGCCTACACACGTGGGACCATGCAGAGGTCACACGTGGGCCCACACTCATGTGAGTATTGCGCAGGGGCAGCTGCAGAGCAGGAGCAGAGTTGCAGTCATAATAAGAGCAGACTCTGTCAGACAGACAGAGTGCACAGAGAAGAGAGAGAAATACTGGAGAGAGGAGAGAGAGTGTCTTCAGAGCCTCTCAAGAGCCATTAGTTTCACCCATGCATAAAATAAAAGAAGCCTGCAACCCACTAAACAATCAGCTCAACAAAAAACAAACCTTCCTTTCTCTTTGTCTCTTAAATCTCCAAAGCTGTTCTTCCTGAATCCTTCTTCTTCTTGTTTTTCATCACCTTGGTATTTTGAAGGATTATTAATTCTTTGTTTTGTTTTCTTCTTCTTTTTTTTTATATAAATTTGTTCTGCTTGAAAAATCAGAAGGAAAAAAAAATGTTGAGTGGAAATCCAAATACTGCAAGAAATAGGTACCCTTTCACACCAAATCAGTGGCAAGAGCTTGAACACCAAGCTCTCATCTTCAAGTACATGGCCTCAGGGATACCTATTCCAACTGATCTTGTCTATTCTTTAAAGAGAAGGTTGGACAATTCAATTTCTTCAAGACTCTTCCCCCATCCTCCCAGTAAGCACATGTTTTGTTCATGGTTTTGTTTTGTTTTTTTTTAATAAAGTTTCTATGTTATTTTAATTTTTTGAGATTAAAAAAAAGGTATTGATATATTTGTTTTGTAATAATTTGGGTATCTTTGGTACTTGTGTGGGTGCAGTGGGATGGGGCTGTTATGAGATGGGTTTTGGCAGAAAGGTAGACCCAGAGCCAGGGAGGTGCAGAAGAACAGATGGTAAAAAATGGAGGTGCTCAAAGGAAGCTTACCCAGAGTCAAAGTACTGTGAGAGGCATATGCACAGAGGCAGAAACCGTTCAAGAAAGCCTGTGGAAGTTTCTTCATCAACTACAACTCCTCCAACAACTGCTGCAACAGAGCACCCTTCATCTTCTTCTTCTTCAGCCCTCTCATCACCCAACAACAAAAATCTCTCCAAAACCTCTTCCTACTCTCTCTCCCCACTTTCCTCATCCATATCCACTGAAACACAAACCCAACATCACCCTCACCAATCTAATTCATCTCCTTATCCCTTCCTTAATTACCCTCAGTCTTCCTCCACAAGTTCTAGGCCTCTTCCTGGTTCTGTTTTCTCACCTCAGAACAACAGCTCTTCTGCTACCCCTCACCTTTTTTTGAACTCTGGATCTTATAACAATCAAGCTGAAAAAGATTACAGGTTTGTGTTTACAAAAATCAGATTCACCCATGATTTATTTTAGTCTTTTTTTATTTTTGTATTTTCCCCATAAAGTTCTGTTCTTTCTTTTGCCAATAGGTATCTTCATGGAACAAAGGGAAGTGTGGATGAGCTAGCTTTCTTTCCAGAGTCTTCAGCAAATGGAAGAAGCATATTGACTGGGGGCTCATCATCATGTCAGCCACCGATGAGTTCCTACAGAGGCTACTCTCAACCACAGTTCCAAAGCCTCACAGATCATCATAATCCAGAAGTTTCTCAACAATCACAGGAGGAGGAGCAGCATTGCTTTGTTTGGGGCACTGATTTCAAATCAAGCAGAGCAATCAAAACAGAGAAAGAAGCAGCTGAAACCCAAAAGTCACTGCACCACTTCTTTGGAGACTGGCAGCCACCAAAGAGCACAGACACCTGGCTTGATCTTTCATCCAACTCTGGAGTTCCTAATGGTAATTAGGTTTTAACTGTCAATGTTCTCATTTGGCTCTGAGCCTCTGACCTCTTTGTTGTCAGTTGTTTAATTTGAAACGTTTCCTTCGTGGTGCAGATGGCTGAAGTCTCAAATCTCAATTATGGGGAGTTTGAACAAAGGCCAAAAGAGTACTCTCTGGTGGGGCATTGCCTTTTCTAACTCGAACTGGTGGCTAGGGAGCTTTATTTTGCTGAAAGGCTTGTGAGTGAGTGAGTGAGTGAGTGAATAATGTAGGGGCCACACACAAGGATTTCTGTCTTTTGCTTTTTCTTGATATTTATTTGCTTCTTCTTCTCTCTACCCCTCTCTAAGAAACATGTTTCATGTCTGGTATTTATAGACTTGCTTGTTTGACTGGAAGCATGTTGAAATGAAGCATATTGAAATGATATGGGGCCTGTAATGTAATGGGTAGCAACTACTTTTATCATATGGAATTTGGTTACACAAGTTTCATATTTATGGACCCAACATGGGGAACATCTGCAATGAATTGGCTCATTTACCCTTTTACCTATGTGGACTTTTTGTGTGTTTTCCAAAGGGTTCATGTGAGTGAGTGGGTTTTTCATTGAACTTGACATTGCCACATAGATGCGCTTTCCCCATAAAATAAAATTAAATCTGGCTTAAGTTATTTTTTCTTTATTATACAAGTTTAAATATTGCTCCAAAACATCCATTTGACAAAAATTAAGTAGTGATGAAATATACCAGCATCATGTATCTTGTCTCCTAGGAGTACCTTTCTTTTTTGTTTTTATTTTTGGCCAACGTTAGAAATGGGGAGGGGTTTTCCTCATGCATACCACACTGTTAATGTATCTTGGAGGTTCGAATTTGAGACTGATCTGTTAGTCAGGCTTTTTTCAACTGGACTGGACCCGTTGGCGGAGTTGCGTATGTTGGTTCTCTTCTTTGTTATTCATGTGTTTGGGCTGCTCTTCCGAGTGTTTGCTTTTTGTTTGTTGGGCTTAGCCTTCCCTTTGAGCTATTTACCTTTAGGCTTCTTTGAAGTATCTTTTAGACGGAAAAGTTGAAATCAAAAGTACAAAACGAGAACATTTGCAATTTTGCATTTGATACTTTTCATTCATAATATCAAGTCTAACATAACAAGCACTTGAAAAATATCATATTGGATTGATCATAAACACCACTTCAATGTTCTGATATCTATAGTGAAGGCCTTATCTAAGGTCTTTAAATGAGACCCTATCTCTTAACCGTTGGATCAAATTGGTTAGCCGTTAAATCAAATTGATTAGTTTAATAATACACCATTTAATTGGTCTAATACTCCATCTGATTTGATCATTTGTCTTGAAAAATCGCATAACATGACATCTTGCTTTTGATTTTATATTATGACACAAAAGCCAAACTGTTGTTCTATTTTTTTGGTAGAAAAAATAGGCCAAACTTTGTCCATCAATTCCAAGTTACAACAAAGGAAACTGTCATAGTCAAACAAATTATATTCTGTACGCATTGGCCAAATTATGCTCTCTTTGTCTTTGCGTAACTCTAACTCAGAGGGAAGTCAACTTCCTGAGATTGGCCTCAGTTTGCAGCTATTGCAAGGAGACTCGATAGCTGCTGTTTCTCAGCCCTATGATAAGCAAATAGAATCAAAGTCATAGCTCATAATATAGCATTTACAAGTTGAGAGAATCCCTTATTTTCAATATATGGAACCAAACAAGCAAAGAAAGATGATAGTAGATGACCTTTGTACATAAACTTTACCAAAAACAGAACGAAGAAGATAAAAGACAAACTTTACGCATAAACTTTACCACAAAAAATAAAAGAGATAACTTATGTGACCCTCCCAAAAGGGGGAGGAGGCAGTATTCCTCCCACAATCCGAGCACAAAGGAAATGCTTATAAGAACAAGTCTCATCAACTGTAAAAATACATTAAAACTTCTGATTCCAGGCAAAAATCTGTATCATTATCATCAAAATGTAGGGAAAGTATGATGATCAAATAAGGGAAGTGTCATTATCATCAAACAACCATTGCGTATCTTTCTCCAATATAGCAGAATGGATCAAACTATCATGAACTGGGAAACAAACATGGTAACATTTGAATAAGGCTCCATTCTCAACCATATTTTGGTGAACATGTCAATCTAATTTAAATTAACACAGTTGCTGCAGTAGAAACATGATTGAAATACTGAGGCTCACGATCTTACAACAGATGCCACTCAAACTGAAAAACAACTACTTTCCTACACATTCATATTGCTCCATTTTTAATCCCAGGCTATAAATCTCAAAATTTCTGACAGTATACTTTGCTACTACACTTCCTACCACACCTATCCAGAGGGACACGCTATCTTTCTTTTAATGCTCTGAACAGCTTGATGTCAGTGATATTGCTGCATGGTATCACCATCAGCAAAGGCGAGTTGGGAAATTTGCTCAAGGGCAACATTTGCATTTTCAAGGCCAAGAGAAGATAAGGCCAAGAATTCTAAGAAAATATTCTATTTCTCATGCAAGAACCATATTTGCATGAATACAAAATTTTCTGATTCTAAGGAAATATTCTACTTCTCATGCAAGAATCATATTTGCATGAATACAAAATTTCAGAAAAATGCTTACTCTCAAACAAAAAAATAAACTCCAATAAATATTTATCTTTCACCTAGGTAACTAGTAAACAATCAAATAATAATAACCTGCATAATCTTCACACGATTAAATACATAATCGTCATACTACCAAAAGAAGAGATATATAATCTCCACAAAAGTCATTCACCCATTACTCATCAATCACAATGACTGTAAGCCATGCTCCATAAGATTAAATACATCTTTTTTTTCTTCATCAGTCATGATAAAGAAGACCCTCAGCAAATCGTGCTCTTTGGCTAAAACGTTGGTATGATTCATATTCTACAATCAGCACAAAGAGCTAAGATATAACAAAAACCAGAATGCCAGGCAATTCCTCCTACTCTCCAACATGGTCATGCAAAAAGTCAGCACACACCACTGATAAATGTACCAAAATGAAATCAGGGCAGCAAAACAACATTTGGATGTGTTTCCAGACAAAACTATAATGTGTATTTCAGCAGTGAAAGTCAGAGTATTGATATATAGAACACAAACTAGACTAGATCACAATATGAACCCACAAAATCATTGATGCCAATACCATAATGTGTATTTCAGCAGTCAATGTCAATATATTGTATATGCAACCCACAAATTTGATATTGTCATCACGCTCATAGAAAGAGAGAAAACTAGATACTGTCATTGTAATTCTTCCATGATTTCTAACATTGTTATACAGTCAGAGGGTTAAAGTTAGCAGGAAATGAGAAAAAGTAATCAGGTCAAAACACAAATCCTAAGGTGGTTTCTTCTGCTTTAAATTATAAGCCGTGTAAACAAAGATAAAGAACAAAAAAATCAACAGAAGATTGAAGAAACATGAAGAAAATTCCAAGCAACAATAACCCATTTACAGAGCAACCGCAAGGGGGCCAAACAGAGCAGCCACCAATCCTCGGATCCATTCACAACATATCGATCTGTTCGTGATTCATATACTGCCTGCCGCTCACCAAAGAATCATAATTCCCTAAAAGCCCCACTATGATATGCTCATTGAATAATATCCAATCCACTCATAGCCCCAACTACATAGCTCTCAGCGAAACAAAAGAATTTGTAAGAAGCCTGCAACTAAAATATTCAAGAACAAGTCTCATATCTATCCTTCACTCTTAGCAGCTGCCTTCTCTTGAAAACCAAGAACCCAATCACACCAATCTGAAGAATGGCAGCAATACCAACAAACAACAGCCCAATCTTCTTCCCTGCATTGTACTTGTGGCCAGGATGGGGCGGTGGAGGATGCCAACGGTGAGTATTGGGCCGTCTTGGCCCACTATGTGGGGGAGGTGGCAGTCTATTACGATCATTCTTGGAATTGAGCTGATTTGCGGGGCGATCAGGTGATGGCGGGCCAGGAGATTCTGGTGGAGATGGCGGGGTCCGAGATTCCGGAGGTGGCGGGGTCGGAGATTGTGGAGGCGGTGGCAGTGGCGGTGGCGGTGGCGGTGGCGATGGAGGCGGTGGCGATGGAGGTGGTGGAGATGGTGGAGGTGGTGGGGGGGAAGGTGCCGAGACGAGATTATTCACTCCAACTTGAGATTGAGACTCGACAAGAAGAGCATATAAGCTAATAGCAAACCCCAAAACCACAAAAACTAAGCTTGAAAATGGGGATTCCATGAAAACAACAACCACAGGACTTGCACTCTCAAGGCAAATTAGGGCTAGGGTTTCTGGAGCACTCTCGCATCTGAGTCTAACCCAAAATTCTTACTTTCCTTTTCATCAGCTTTGAATCGAAAGGAAGAGAAAGAGGGAATACCTTGCCTCTTCAGATTGATTACACCCAAGAACTAGGGTTTCTGAATCTGAGCCGTTTTCCAATCAGGCCTCTCTGATTTCCTCTTCCTCTGAAACTGCAACCAAAAGGGTCAGATGGGTTCAGGCCCAAATGCTCGATTTCGTCCTCTCGGGGCCTGCCTCAGAAAGCTCGGTTCCTCTTACAGATATAGTCCCAGAGGTCTAGGGTTTGGGCATGAGCTCGCTTGATCTTCCAATCTAGGTCGTTCTGATTTATCGTTCAGCAGAATCAAACCAATCGGTCAAATGGTCAGAAAGGCTTTGATTCCATATTCAAATTCGTCACACAAGGGTTAGCTTTTTGACAAAAGGAATTGGATTGAAAGTGGGTCTTTGGGGCTTTCTTGTCCCTGTGGAAAAGAATTACAGAAATGAGTCAAATGGGTAGTTGGGGAAAACATTAATTGGAAGGTATAATGGGAGGAGGGAGCTTCTCTGTGATCTTCGCCACCTTCGCAGAAACAGAGAAACTAGAGAGAGAGAGAGAGAGAGAGAGACAGCGAAGGAGGTAGATAGATACAGAGAGAGAGGGAGAGAGTCTACGCGGGATTCAACGGTTGGGCTAATTTGGGTGAATGATTGCATAGGAAGAATCTTTAAGCTGTTTTTCAATGAGAGAGAAAGACAGAGGGGGAAGGGAAAATGTGTAGAGAGAGAAAGAGAGTGTTCGTGTAGCTTTGTGACTTGTCAAATGGTTATCATGAAGTTGGTGACAAAAAAATATTCACAAGTCTATGCACTGGTGTCAATTGGCTTTACCCAATTGAAAATGTCCTCAATCTCTCTCATCAAATATGTAAATCAAGACTCTTTCTTTACCCTTCTCAAATTTAACGAGAGTTTGCAGTCCAAGACTCCAAAGCAACAACACTAAAAAAAGAAACCAATAGAATGCAAAACAAAAAATATCTTATAAAGGAAAACCAGTCTTGGGACCATGTGGACCTAGTTAGTAGGTATATCATGGTTTTCGCTTTTTCAGTGTGAATTAATGGTGGAAGGGCCCATTGGGCTCGTCTCAAAGATTTGGTTGGACCCTGAAATTAGGTAGAAGGTAAGGTTTACGTCCGTGGTCCATCAGTTTGTCCGGCTCTAGTACGGCTCAGCCCGTTCAATGGGATGGTCGGGTTCGGGTCGTATTTTAGCTTAGCTCCTGCCATGGGTTGACCGGATTTTCAATGGCGGTGTCGAGGAACCGGACCGCGTTGTTGAGGATGCCTCGTTCATTTGATTATGGTAGAATAGAAATCTCTTAAGTCATGGGTGTCCAGAGATGATGCTTGGGTGTCCATAAAATCCCTCTTTTAACAAAACTTTGAGTGGCCCGTTTCAAATGGGTGATAAGCTGGATCGACCCACAACTCTTAAAACTCCTTTTTTCATATTTCCATTTTTTCCATTTTCTTTTCTACTCAATTTTTTTTTCTTTTTTTTTTAAAGAAAACTCTCTCAGCTAGATGAACGGTTATCACAAACTAGGTCAATTCTTTCAAGTGATCTATTCTCATGATCTGGATCTTTAAAAATTAAAATAAAATAAAATAAAATAATTGTGACCAATTTGTATTAATTTTTACATTAAAATAATCAAGCACATTATTTAATTATCTTTACAATTCTCCATTTCTTAATCATGTTCACATCACCCTCAATATTTTTTTTTTAAACTTATATTTAAATTGATTATTAACTTGTCCAGGAGAGCTAGAAAGTCTCTGGAATCCAAAGGTCTGTCTGGCAATCTGGTGGCCTGGCTTAAAAGACAGTCTAGCAAAGCTCCCTCATCATGGAACCCACAAGTTTATCTGCTTGAGGGATCTTTATAAAAATCTTATACAAATTAAATAATTGGATTAATGCCAATTAAAAATATTAAATAATTGGATTAATGCCAATTAAAAATATTGTATTGTGAAGTGAATTTATAAAAGAAAAATTGACAACTGAAAGATCATTTTTGAGACTTTCAGCTGGATCCAGGAACATTTGTATACTTTACAAAAGGGGGCATAAGAACTTTGTAAACCTTATATCAATTTAAGGCATTGCATACAAGAAATAAATTTACTTGAACAAAAATCATGAAATATTTTATGTTGCCGGAATTCTAATGCGTCTTTTCATTTATCTTTTTTTTCCTTGAGTATAAAGGATAGTCTAAATTAAAAGGGAAGGGAATTTCTCACACACACACACACACACAATTATGATGTCATGAGGGTTCGAACCAGAGATCTCTAATCTGCAAGTCAAGGCCCTTTTCCACTGTGCTCGAATATCTTTTAATGTCAAGCATGAGATTTGAATTCGGGACTTTGCTCCAACGTAGTTAAAGCTGAATATTTGACCAACTGACATGTTTGTCATATATTGGGCTTTACATTCAAAACAATACAGCCAAATAAAATTTATATGTTCTGTCTTTTTTATTTGTTTCATGATTTGGTGCAATACTTCTCTTAAAATCGATACCAATAGTAGTGAAAAATAGAATTTTAATTATAATTTTGGTTGGGACTTTAGAATATTTTAATCATTCTCTATTTTTGGATGAAATTCCTTTCATTTGAATGGGATCAATAATCCAAAATGATTTTCATATCACATACGTTTTAATGGAGTGTCATAAGGATATCCATCCATCCATCCTAGGATGATCAATGGTGGTTCATAGCTCAGGCTAAACTGTAGTCATTCTATAGTGAGGGCGTTATGTTAACTTTTGGATCAAATTATCTAGTGTCTAACTAATTTCAATCTAACGGTTAAAAAATAAGGCCTCATATAAGGGATAAGGCCCTCACTATAGAATTCTTTGGCTAATTTGCTTTTTATTTTGGGCTTGTTTCTAGTTTGTTTTGTTTGTTTTGGGCCTTTGGCCCCAATTGCAAGTTTTTAAAAAAGAAGGTTAAATTGGTTGGATAGAGAAGTCTCATTCATAATATCATTATCCTTTGATTTTGGGTATTCAAAATTAACTTACACACTAATCAAACCTATTGGTCCAAAAAATCTCTAAAATGTCTTGCAAAGCAAATAGAAATACACACCCATAAGGACCCACTAGTGTAGTGGTTTAGAACAATTACTCCTCCATGTAAGTTTTTGGGTTTGAGTCCTAGCATCCGTGTAGTGTGTGTGAGTTTAATATATTATCGCTCATCTCAATAGGAAATATCCTTTCAAAAAAAATTCACACCGTCCCCCCTGAACAATGTACTTTTAATTAAACTTAAAATAAATAATTGAGAAAATAAATAAAGATAAAAGGAGACAGTCTATATTGTCTACGGTATGATATTTTGGGACAGAGATAAACAAGACAGTGAATGCAAATACGAGTACACTTGCAAAATGGCATGCATGGCATGACATATGCTAATATGCAATGCTATGCGAGTTTATTTGACATGTTGTTGTCCCCAAAATGACAAAAGTAACCTTGGTGTGAAGGGAGCAAGGTCACATGGGAGAGAGAGCAAGAAGCATGTTTGGCCGGATCTAATAAGTCTTTTACCAGCGGCAGCAGCAGCATCGCAGTCTCTCTTTCTTTTTTTACAGTGTCTCAAAAACAATGTCAGCCAAACTGTACTCTAGCCAAGCAAAGCAAATGGATCTCACCCAAAACCCTAGCTGGAAGCTCTTGTCCCATCAAAATTCCAAAAGGTTCTTCTTCCTAATTTTTTTTTTTTAAAAGAAAAACCCTAACAAAGAGAACGAAAGTGACCCATTCACTCCACTGCTGAATGCTGATCCTAGCTAGTGGCAAATTGGTCATTCAAAACCCTACCCAAGTTCACTTTAGAGAGGGAGAGAGATGTTGGAATTGCAGAGACAGATGGAAAGAATAAATTCAATAAATGGGGCAGGGATGGGCCAAAGGCCACATAACTGTGAAGGCTTTTACACATAGATATAGATGTAGATTGCTGCATTATTTGATGTGTCTTGGAAATTGATGCTTTTGTTTCTTTTATTTTAGTGTGTTAGATGTTGAAACTCAGCACCTGGCTCCAGGCACGCGATGCGACCACGGAAAGCAAGATTCATCATCCATCATCCAAACTGTTCATATAATTATAATTAAACTGTTCATACTTATCAAGGATGCCGAATATTTACACGGTTTATACTAGTCAAGAATGCCGATTATTTACATAGTTAATACTAATCAACGACTGTCAATCATTCGATGAAAACAATAATATGTAGTAATAGGGGAATCTTGTTAATTAGTGTACGTTTAGGTGGTCAATTTGAACACCCCATAACAAAAATTCGTATATACTAACAACATAACACATGTTTACAAGAAAAATATCAATTTTCTTTTGTTTAGTAATTTTGTCATTTATTTGTGTTTTTGACAATTGATCTCAAGAAGCAAGAGCATATATATATATATATAGGTTCTTGAAATATCCAAAATCCTTTTCACCAAACACAGAAGCTAAAAGCACAGAGCAAGTAATACCTAAAGCTGGTAATTAAAATAGCTTAATTAAATGGTTCCAGGAGCCAGACGCGAACTGAGCCCTACAGACCTAAGCACTGCAAAAATCTAACCCTAATTCTGAGCCCTAGCTCTAAAAAAATCTTACATAGATTATATACATTGATGTAAAAGCAAAGAGGGTGTGGCCAGTAGGGCAGCCTAGGATAGTTATGATGGAGAAATGTCGCTGCTTGAGGTATCTTGTCCTGTGGATATTGTCTCTTTGTGTGTGAGACCTATACGGTTCTTTCCTGCGTGCCAGGTTTTGTTGTTAGATTTTTCTGTGGATCCCCCCCTCCTGCCCCAAATCTATCTCTAAATTTTCTCCCTGCAACACTCTCAGTCCGTACATATTCTCTAACATAAAGCATCGAAACTGAGTTGAATAATATATAGTTGGAATGTTGGATATTCGAAAGAATATATGAATAATGATTAATTTCATGAGTGATATATTATATTGATATTGTTGTACCTAAAATGTGTGTATGTTGATTCACGGGAGATTCTGTAATAAGTATTTTATGTTAAGAATTGGTTACATACTTCTAATCTTGACCATTGTATTGCATTTATTAAATGTGCTAGTAGTCTCTTAGATGTAATCCAATGATTAAGATTAAAAATATATAACTAATCCTTAACTTAAATACTTATTGAAGAATCTCTCGTTGACTCGCTATATGCATCACTACCGTACATTATAAATTATGATTATTTATAATCAATCATTCATATTAATAATTCAACAATGTTATTAATAGAATAATTTGATAAGTGAAAATTTCCAGTAATGTTATTTCATTTTTCAACAAAGTAACAAGCTACAAAAAAGTGAAAACATAAAGTTGTAATAAGGGATCTTATGATAATTCTAAGCAAGGTTTTGTGAGGGATCCTTCCCCAAGCTTTGTGGAAGAAGTATAATCTGGGGACTATAAAGATATATATATATAT